TCACTGATGTGGCCCGTTACAAAATTTTCTTTGGCCATTGATGACAAATACCATCCTTTTAACTTATTTTCAAATGAAAGCAGTTGGATGATGATATCCTGAGGGGGTGTACATTCAGATGAGGAGACAGTGTAAAGGTTTGCCTTAAAACAAAAAAGCTTTTATTTCTCTCTTTTCTCTGAAGTGCGTTTTATGTAACTGTTAGGAAGTTTCAAACACAAATGTGCATTTTAGGGCATTTATGGGTCAGGTTGGTCGTTCTTCTTGGTAGGAGTTTCACCATCCTAGTGACAGGAAGCTCACCAGAATTCACGTGACTGTAGTCACGAGGGCAGCATTTCTTCAGAACAAGCCAATAATGGGCACAGAGAGCTGTTTGACATTTTGCTTGGGAGCGCCCTTTCCGTTTCCTGTACGCTCTTGGCCTTTTGGTAACGTGCCGCAATTAAACACCTTGAAATTTAGAAAGAGAGAGTCTGAAATTAGAAAAGTAGGTATGAAATCATGCATGATCTGCTAGGCTACTGGGCTGGGGCAACCTGTGCTGCTTTGAAACATCACTGTCTTGGGGTTTTTTTCTCATGCTGCCATGTAATACTTCTTGTTTAGGATTTACCAGATACAATTCATATTGGTGGGAGGATCTTACCGAAGACAGTCTGGGAATATGTCGGCAAACTCAAATCTTCACTTTCTAAGGTATTGACTTAAAATCCTTTACAAAACCCAGAAGAAAAAAATACAACAATATAAAATTGCAACTTTTTATGATGCAAAGTAGTAAATAACAAATACTGGCAGAGATCACACCTGGAAAGCTACTGACACCATTTATTCCTCTGAAATTTTTGACTTATTGAAGAAAACTGTTTGTTGAGCTGCACATCCTCTTGAATCCTACTCTTCTGCATAGCTGTTAAATCTTCATTATTTTTAATGAATGAACATGAATAATCTATTCATCACTGAAGATTGAAATTCATATTTTAAAGCAATTTATTACTGAATGTATATAATAGACTTTAGTATTAAAAAAGTGATAAAATGACACACAATGTACAGATACCATGAAACTATGAGTCTTCCATTTATGTAACATTAATTTGAGCCTCAAGATGTTTAGTTTGATGCAAGACACATTTCTAAAAATGACAAACCTAATTCTGTTTTAATACTACAAATTGGACAACAGTACTCTTTAAGCTAGAGTATTGCTTTGGAAAAAAGAAAACATAGCTGGAATGATAAATATACAATACATTTTTACCCCTGGAATTTTTCCTTTACCATTTTATTTGCTGATATGTTGCAGGTTGAATTTTTCCACTTTGCTTTTGTATTACAGGAGTTGTGTTTGATTCGTTTCCATCCTGCAACAGAAGAAGAAGAAGTTGCCTATATCTCTCTCTACTCTTATTTTAGCAGTCGTGGTCGTTTTGGTGTTGTAGCTAATACCAACAGACATATCAAGGATCTCTACCTGATTCCCCTGAGTTCTAAGGACCCAATTCCTTCCAAACTCTTGCCTTTTGAGGGACCAGGTAAGCACAAAGCAGGGGAGGTTAAATTCTAGGTAAAATCACAAAACAAAAGTCAATCTTAAACAAGTTGTTGTTGAATGTTTATTGTAAGCATCACTAGATTTTTTTTTTTAATATATAAACCCAATTTTAAAGTATGTAAATAGGGGAGAATTGGAAATCCAACTCTGTTCAAGATAAAATTGTCTGAAATTTACATAGCTTTTCCAACAAGATGCTTATATGCTATTAAGAGGATGAGTTTACTGTAAAATCAAGTATGTGGAACAGCCACTGTATTGAAAAAAATACCAAACCAAACACAACAAAAACCCAACAAAGGACCCCCACCCTATCTTCAGCAACCCATAATCCACAAAACCTAGGCCTTTAGAAGCCCTTCACCATTGCTTAAATCAAGCAGGAAACCAAACCCACGGAGGAGTGAAGAAATCTGTGAAGACAAAGGTAATTTTTACAGTGGTTTCACTACATTGTCATTGTCTCATACTATTAACCTGTACGTGCACTCTGGTGCACGAGGTGCTGGAAGTGTTCCCTTGTGCAAACTCTAGTCGAATCACTGGCTTCTAAAAATCAGTGTGTTGCATGGGAAGGGGATCCACATTCCTTCGGGTTAGGAGGTGGCAGACGGTAGTTGGTTATATTATGATCTTCTGTTTTTAGCTCAAATTACCTGTAGTAACATGTGGCTTCAGGAATTTGCTCCATGTTTGTGTGTTGAACATGGTAACAGAAGAATCAGTTCACCCTTCCATTACAAAATCTGAAGTCGCCTTCATCTGAGGGTGGAGCAGGTGCATATGCTTTGTTTCCAAATAAGTATCTGGGGTTTATATAAAAGTATCAGATTGAGAAGCTCAAGAACTACAGGTTACAATGAAGGCGATACTTCATTGTCCTAACAAAAATACTCAACAGTAGGTGTGAAACAGCAAACAAGCCCAAGTAGCTGACTTTTCTGAGAAGCTGCCTGTCCTCTACTCACCGCTAAACTCAATAAAGCCTTCTTGGCACAACAGGGTCTGGGGCAGGTTTCCGTGTGTTGGTGGCACGTGACTTTGGCAACAACAATAAATGAGACATCATTAGGAAAACGTTCTCCCTTCCTGTATGAGATGGCAAAGGGCGCTCGCTCTGCATCCCCAGACCAGGTTTGTCTGATACACACCGAGGCTCTTACCCATCCCTGAACCATGCACAGGCTGGGTCATTGGTTTGAGCCTATAGTTAAAAAGGCAGGATTCTCGCTATCTGAATTATAGCAGTATAGCTAGAATTATCGAATCTTGGCACCTCATAGTCTTTAACTTACCAGATTCTGGAAAGGTAGGCAGAAATTGCTATTCCTGTTTCATAGACAAATGAAAACACTGAAGTGCAGAACACCTTTGGCACAGGGATGTAGGTAAAGTCTTAACTCCCGGACTGGTTCTTCCAGCCGGAACAAAACACCCTCCTTGCTGGACATGGCCATGGAATCGGCTGTAAATGTCTTAATTTCATTTCAAATGAACCATCTTAGATAGGAGTTTGGCAAATGTAGACAAACTCTGCCAAGTATTAGTATAGAAATCTGTAACGTCATCTGGATTTTTCCAAGTTTAAAGAGCAGAAGTTTTTCAAAACTGGAGGGAATTGCTCAGAAGAAACAGGTGCATCTGCAGGTGGTGTTCATGGAGGCAAATTTTGTAAGTCAGTTTTTTCACAACGAAATATATTTTTGTAGGCAGAATGGATTAAAAGATAGTGGTAGAAGCAAAGTTACAAAGGCAGAGATGTAGCAGATTCATAAAACACCTACTGTCATCAACTTGCATCTTGGAAACTTGTGTAGGGGCCTTCACCTCATAGTTGTACTGAGTTGCACTCACATTTTAAACTCAGAATCCAGCATGGGGGCAAAAAAATCAGGTAAGCTGTTTTTCTGGTTTTCTGTCTGTATCAAACCCACAGCATAAAAGACATGTAATCCGTACTTTTTAATGACATCTGATGGAATTTACTGTTTTTTCTTTCTTTCACAATCAATAAAAATATTTTATGGGAAGTGGTCATTGTCTCCTTAAATTTAATCGTGTACCTTCAAACAGAATTTAACAAGGACTCGAGAAGCATTATGCTTTAGGTAGCTAAGGTGATTTGATAAATATGACTGGAGGGGGGGAGGAGGGAGAGGGAAAGAAACCCTGCCAGTCCAGAAATCCTAGTTAGAAGATATTCCAGCTCTCTCAACCAGTTCCATCAGGCACATAGGGATTACGAATTTCTGCTGTTTTCTGATGGACTGGATTTGGAACGCAACTGAGGACTTCTGAACTGCGCTAGTGCCTAGAAGATCTACAGAAAACTTTGACATGGGTGATTTAAAAACAGAGGAAAATGGAAGGTTATCCATATTTATACTTAATTTGTCTTGGACGTTTATTACCAGATTTTATGCATCAGTGAGCTCTTCTGCACTGGCTTTTTGCACGTTTACTGTATGTGGATTTGTCTTTTTTCACATACAGATGTTTTTTAGCACTTTCACTTGTAGATCTCAAAGCACTTTGTAAAAAACAGTATAATTAGTCTTAAGTGCCAATAGAAAGTGATTTATTGAGGGCTTTAGTGGCAACATTGGGAACGTAACAAGTGTCTTAGGTAATTAAAAAAATTTTCATAAAACCATATATCAGTAAAAGGTTGCACAAATGTTGATAGATCTCTTTTTGGCAGTTTGCTATAGGAAGTGCAGGTTTGCAGGTTTTTTTCTTCAAGCATGAGAGGATCATATCTCATGCTGTTTAGAATGTTCTTAAAAATTGCCACAAATGGAACAATATTGTAACTACTCTGGAGTTGGGTGTCTTCATCTCAGCAGACATCATTGCAAAAAGTAGCAACAGCAGAAGAAGGTGGCGTATGAACCTTTTCCTGCCGCCCAGCCAGTTCCCTTCAGCCAGCATGCCTTCACGTGCAATTAATCTCATGACTAATTGGGACAAATATTTAAGTGGCATAGATAAAATTTAGGGAATACCTTGCATGGTGTCTGCAGTGTAAAAGAAGTACGCCACAGTTTTGTCGCTTTGTACAGAACTTAGGCCTGTGTCTGTAACAGCACCAGTAACTTTTGCCAGCTGGTGATGATCAGGACAAAACGTAAAACTGATTTCCCACAAAAAAAGTGCATTTAAGGGTAAGAAAACCAAATATTTATCCAATACTAATAATTAGTATGTCCTGTTCTAATAGCTTTAGTTACAGGATGTAACTCGATAAAGCCAGCACGTGGACTTCAAATGCTGAATAGGATAATAACAATTTTATACGTAATTTAGCACTGAAAGCTCCTAACTCTGCTGACACAGCTTGCAGCGCTTTTGAAGTGCTTGTTTGTGAAAGCCTTAGTTAGGGACTGCAGCCAACATTTTTGTTATTACCTAAAATTAGACACTTAACCTATTTATGGGGTTTGAAGTAGAATGGGACTGACCTTTGCAATGCTGGCCTAGCTCTACGTTTCCATTCTAAAGAAGCGTTTAGTGTTTGATCACTTCAAACTGAGTGAATGCAGAAGGCAGGGTAGGCACAGCTTCTAATATTTGTGTAAGGTTACAGTATCAAAATGGAATGGATTTTGTAGTATCAGGATGGATTTTTTAGTGTTGAAATTTAATGGATTTATTCTGTGATGATTAAACTCAGATCAGATGAAATTATAACTAATGTTCTTAGCTTACTGCTGGAATTTATTGTCTTGGAAAGTTTATTAAAATTTTACCCTGTTTTAATTAGTGACTTGATCTCTGTCTCTTACAGGGATTCCAAACTAAATTGTCAGTAATTGCTGATTATTAGATATCTGTACTATTATTACCAGTAACGGTCAGAAGATCACAGAATTTTAGAGGAGGATTTTTCCCCTTCAGTTGTCAAAAGATCTCATAAAACTTTGAAGTTAGCTCATTTTACTTGGAAAATTACTATCTTTCTCTGATTATCTGTAGTTCATTAGTTGGAAAATAATGTTTATATGGGATAAGATTTAGGGGGACATGCTGTGAACAGACGTTATTGCTTAGTGAAATATATATTAAGTATGGAAGAGAAATAGTAAGTTTCAAACCTAGTTTGTTATTTAGCAAACTGCAAATAATTCCTGCAGTACAGACTTCCACTAAAGAAGAAATCTTGATTTAATGGGTTCTAGTGCTTGGTTTTCCCTTGACGTCAATTCAGCCAATTTTCATCTTGCACTTGAGTAGGTCCTGAGTGAATTTAGCTGATGGCATCCTCTCGCTGACGAAACCTCACATCTAACCTAAAAACATACTAAACTTTTTTACTGCTTTCTCAGTGCAGTGTTAGCAGCAAAAGAAGTCTGAAAAGGTGAGGTTTGTTAAGCGTAAGTGTAAATTTAGGAAGCAGCTGATGTAATTTTCTCATTAGATGACCAGTTTAAGAGCCCTCTTGCAACTTCGAATCAGTTGTTTCAGCAAAGCGACACGTCTGAATGGAATATACCTGCGGCTGTGGGGTTTAGGGGTTTTGTTGGTATCAAAAAGTTTTCAGTGCTAATAATTAGATGTTTAAAAAGTGTTTCTTAATTAGTAGGTGGTTTGATTTAATAAGAACAAGGAGCATTATATATATATAATTCTTACGTACAGTATCATGAATAGAAGGAAGCGCGTAGGTCAGAGTCCTTGCCTTAGCATTTAATCACAGTGAATGTTATCTGCTACTTTACGGATTGCTTTGTGTTTCTGTATTCCTGCGTCCTGGCTGGATGCAGATAATAACTAATGCCACATACGGGGGAAAGACAGTGCGCCTCATTAAATCCAGAAGTTAAAAAAGCCTCTCTTTATACAGGTGTTCTACATTTGTCACCAACCAGGTGTTAAAGGATTTGTTCCCTGCCCTTCTTTCTGGACACGTTTCTCTTCCATGAGTGCCAGTGGTTCCTGTGCGTGTACAAGGAAGAAATACAATAGCACAAAACAGACCTTCGCATTTTTCCTCTGTATCCTCTCATTTTGGGGCATACTTCTCCAAGGATTCAAGCAGGAAACATTCACAAAGGAGGAATTGTGCTCACAGTAGTTTTTCCTTAGCGAAAGGTCTTGGAGCATCAAACTGAACCCTGCAGTGGAGGGTTTCAACTTTCCCTTTGCCCACCAGGGCCTTCCCCAACCAAGCGTTTTCATGCAGCGAAAGCAAACGCACCCAGGGTCCCTTCTCCCATGTGCTAAACTCCTCTCTGCTTGAGGTCTCTTTTGCTTGTTTGGTATGTTAGCAGCTTCCATGCTTCTTAAAATAAGGTACAGCTGGAAAAAAACGTACAGGGAGTGGTTTGCAAGCTTTGGTGCTGTTTCCAAACACAGTTTGTTTGAGGTTTCCTTTTTACCCGTTGCAGTTGTTTGTTTAACTTGAAAGAGACAAAATATTTATAGACTGGTGTAAATGTCCTTGTAGTCTTTTAGCACGGATTAAAGCAGAAATAGAGTTAGAAAGTTTAGCCCAGGTTTTCTCACTTTTCACTATCTCTGTGTATTCAACATTTGCAAGCTATTTAAAAGTAAATATACGAGGGAGAGGTATAGGTGGTTGAACAACAACAAAAACAATGTGACAATGCAAAAAATATTAAAACTGTCTTTGATTTTAAACATTTGTAGAGACATTTTTTAACAGTCATATCTGTTGCTGCAATCTTTTATTAAAATTATCGAGGAAGTATTTAAAACATTTAAGATATGCAAATATATATAAAAAGTAAAGAAATATAGATGAATATGCTTATGGACTAATGAAAATTGCCAACAGGTCATCTAATAGGCTTTAGAAAAACTGTTACGTTTATGACTTGTGTTGCTGCCACTATATCAAATCATAAGTTTCTGCTGAAAGCATAATTAAAAATCAGTTTTTTACATATACAATCTTTCTGTTCTCTTTCAGGTCTTGAGTCATCTCGGCCAAATTTAATTCTTGGATTGGTCATCTGTCAGAAAGGGAAGCGTCTTGCCACCGGCAATGAAACAGAAAAGATAGAGGAAAAGCGAAGCAGAATTCAAGCGCACGAGGACACTGAGACATCCCTGTTCTCTAAAGGGCCACTCGCTGCTTCACAAGAGAGGAAAGCTCCGAAATACACACTTTATTCAGGAGACTCAGCCGTGAGTACAACACCACCGGGATCTCCTCCACCTCCACCACCGCTTCCCGTTCCAGACACCTCAGCAGTTACACCTTCGGTATTAAAAATACTGTCCTCGATTAAAAGTGGAACCACAACTACCCCAACACCGCCGATTTCAACTGCTGCTTCTGCAAGTGTCACTGCTACACATTCATCAGCCTCAAAAACTGCCACCCCTCTCGAGCACATCCTGCAGACACTTTTTGGAAAAAAGAAAACTTTTGAGCCTCTTGCTAAGGATTCTGAAACTGCCCAGTCTTCAGCTCAGGGAGGTCAAGCTGCTGCTGATGCAGGGGTGTCAGCTGTCCCTTTGTTAGATCCCATCGTGCAGCAGTTTGGACAGATGTCAAAGGACAGAGCTATAGAAGAGGAGGAGGATGACAGACCGTACGATCCTGAAGAAGAATACGGTCCAGAGAAAGCTTTTGATGTGCAGACTGGTGAAAGCGAAAAACAATACAATGTGGACAAGCCATCTAATGCTGCTGAACTAGAGGATGAGGCCTATGATCCAGAAGATGAAACTATCTTGGAAGAAGCAAAAGTAACTGTTGATGATTTACCTAACAAGATGTATACAGACACTAAAAGCAATTCTTCGGAAACGTCTGCTTCATATGTGCCGGATTTATCTGCATCGTCATCCTTGGTAGAACAGCAAAAAATGTTGGAAGAATTAAATAAACAAATCGAAGAACAGAAAAGACAACTAGAGGAACAAGAAGAAGCCCTCAGACAACAAAGAGCAGCTGTTGGTGTTTCAATGGCTCATTTTTCAGTGTCTGATGCTTTGATGTCACCACCACCAAAATCATCCCTACTAAAGACTGAATTATTCCATCAGGACCAGCAAGCTACACAAAAAATAGATTTATCTTCATCTTTAAATCAGCAAGCACAGATTTTAACCCAGGGCTGTGACCCAAGGCAGAGCAGAGATCCTCGACAAGCTAGAAGAATGGTCACAGAGACTAATGACAGCGCTGACTCACGAGTCAAGCCACAGGTGGTGCAGAACGAGATGTCCACAAGAGAAATGGCTCCAGCAAGTTTTCCAAATGCTCTGCAGACTTCACTTGGTACAGAAGATAAAACTTTAATTTCTGCTCCTCAGCCTGGTTTTAGTGGTGATAGTTGGGTTTCAAGTGAAAAGGCTTCTATGGTGTCCCAGAAAGAGCCGTTTAATAGTAAATTTGAAAACACTGTTCAAGTTACTTTGGAAAACATGAGTCAAGCAGCTCCTGGAGAACCTTCTACATCCAAACCTTTACGTAAAGTACTGCTTCCAACGCCTCCAAGTACAGCTTTTCAGCCTAATTTCTCCACATCGAATGACAGTCAGCCTTTGCAAGTGTCGTGGTCAAATGAGTCCAAGGAAGTAATGGGACACGATTCTTTTTCAAATACAATGTTTGCTCCTCAGGAAAAGGCAGCTGGTCACTTTGAACCAGAGAGGGGTCTTTCATCAGTGCAATACAATGAACAAAGAAACCCTCAGTCTCATCAATTTGTAGAACAAACTGAACCTCCATCGGTTCAGAGCGAAGGTGGACCTTCCCTACAGCACTTTGAAGAAAACCGAGCGGGACCTCCGTTTGGACAGAAAGGAGGGACTGCAGCACCACTGATGCTTAATGCACCCGGAGGACCTCATGGACCTAATTTTAGAGGACCAGCACCACAGTTCTCTGAAGAGCATGGTTCTCCAAATAATGATGGGCAAAGAGGGCCTCCGTCTGGAAGATTTGGAAATCAGAAGGGTCCCATTCCTTCCTTATTTTCTGCACAGCATGGACCACCATCTATTTTTGGTGATACTAGGGGCCCTGCGCCTTCTTACCATGGTGTTCCAAGGGGAATGTCATCATCTCAGTATGAAGATCGCAGGGAACCTCACATGGAACAAAGGGAATTCTCAGATTCCCAATACAATGAAATGATTAGGCCTCCGGGACAGTTTGAAGGTCCAGACCCACCTCAGTTCATGGGCAACAGAGGGCCTGCCCCTTTTCCTTTTGGAGGTCAAAGACGACCCCCACCAGCTCAGTTTAAAGGACAGAGAGGAGGCCCGCAGTTTGGAGGACCACGAGGTCCATCCCCGAGTCATTTTGGGGGACCAAGAGGACCTCACCTAAATCAATTTGAAGGACAGAGAGGTCCAGCTCCAAATCACGGACCTGGGCCAAGAGGGCTTTTGCCACAGCCGTTCGAAGAACGGAGAGGGAGTCCACCACCCAGGTTTGCCAATCAGAGAGGTCCAGCACCACTTCAGTTTGGAGGACCAAGAGGAGCCGCACCTGCAATGTTTCCAGAAGAAAATGAACCTTCCTCTAGGTTTCATTTCCAAGGCCAGTCACCACAAGGTATGAAGCCAAGCCCCAGACCGCTCCTGGACCTTCCAAGCCATCCACCAACCCACAGAAAAGAGATGTGGGAGGAAGCTGGCCCATCTGCACCTCTTCCCAATATTTCTGGACAAGGATCTGAGTCGGAAGGCCAGTGGTCAGGTTCTGACTTCCGAGAAGGCAAAAATCCTGAATTTAGAGGCCAAACGTTTGAAGGGAGACAGAGGGAAAGATACGAAGGAGGAAATAAGGACAAGGCTTCAGATCAGCCAGAGCCTCAGCAAGCAGATAACCGACAAGGCAGACCCTTTGAAGAAAGACGAAGGGATCGAGAACACGGCAGACCTTGGGAAAGAGACCGTGGCAGAAACTGGAATAGAGACAGGGACTGGGAGAGACACCGAGACAAGGAATGGGATAAAAATAGAGACAGAAACCAGAACAAAGATAGGGAGAAGGATTCAGAGCGAGCTAAAGATTGGGAAAGAAACCGAGACCGAGAGAGAGCAAGAACCAGAGACAGAGACTCCTACAGAAGACGCGATAGAGACCGATCAAGAAGCAGAGACAGAGATCGTGACAGAGAGAAAGACAGGGACCGAGATCGAAGCAGGGAAAAAGACAGAGATCGAGACAGAGATCGTGAGAGAGAAAGAGGAAAAGATCGCAAAGATCGGAGTAAGAGTAGGGAAATCAGTAAAGAGATGAAGACAGAAACACCGAAGGAAGCTCAGAAGCCAACAGAAACAGAAGCTTCATCTTCCACTAATCAATCATAGGAGTATGACTGATATTTCCCACAAAAAATATACTTTTGCAACACAGCAAGGACTGAATCAACATCTTCTGTACATAGTGTATAGTGTCACCTTTACAAAAATGACGTTGTAAAACTAGCCTTACAAAAAGTACTGATGAGTTAGCAATTTTTGAACAACTGTGAATTAAAATACTCAGATAAAAAGCAAGAGCATACCGGACTTTCACTTGCTGCATTTTGTGCATAATGTTTTTCTTATAAAAATTCACAGCGTTACCTGTACTGAAATTTCATTTTTTTTCTACTTGCATCTTTATCTTAAAATTTCCATTTACAGGACACAAATGGAAAAAGTCTAAGAAGAGCATATTGCTTTTTAAGATTATAAAGTTATGTTTTCCAGTAACTTGAATTGTAATTTTATAAGAGAATTTAATCCAGACCTTAGGAGCCATACCTTTACATCTCATTTACGTGATATTTTGGTGTCAAAATTGTTCCTACAGCACACGCTTTAAAATCGGGAGTTCAATGTTGCTGTCTTGTTTATTTTCCAGCAGAAGGGTTGTGCGTATTTAGGAAAAGGCTGCAGAAGAACAGTGTTAATAATTACTTGTGACTGACAGAGGATTTGAAAAACGGAATGTTATAAGCTTAAAGTGCACTATCTTCCTTTTTATATACAGATATTTTGTGTTGCGGAATCCACCTGTTAAGTGTACAGCAAAGAAACAAGTCGTCCTTAGGTTTTTTTCAGGAGGCTGAGGGCTTTTAAATGTCACGTTTTTACAAAACTGTGGTTAAAAGAACATGCAAGAGTAGCACCTTTATAACCAGCAACATTTCTAAAACCATCAGACGTTTATTTGAAAAAGGCTAAGACTGCAAACGAATTGGGATACCAAAGGCAAGGAGTCGTCGCTTGAACAATCCACTAAATCTCTTCGGTTGAGCTCATTTAGCAAAGCACCTTTTTGGTTTTGTTTCAGTTTTTGCAGGATTTTGCCATAGACTTAAGAACTGGCCCCATTTTTTTTTCATTCTCAAAGTGTTTTGCCTCTGAACAAAAGTGTCACTGTTTTGTTGTTGTTTTGTATTTTGGGGTTTTTTTTGTTAGAGCCTACCTAGGCTGGTTAGTGTGTATAAAACTCTGGGAGAACTGCTGGAAAAGGCGTAACTGCGTTAAGCTTGACAGGACGGGTGGTGGCACGTCACGTTGTGGTTCAAGAAGGAAGTTTTTCACTGAAACACACCGCTACTTTTCATGTATTCTTCAAGTACGTAATTCTAAAGGATGAAATAAAACCCCCGCTAATTTATTCGACCGTGTAAATTAACGTTAAGTTGGGTAAATATTTTGATATTTTTATAAAATAGTTTTGGAAATGTAAAATTAGATTCCTATGACCATTTGCATTTTGAAGACTACATTACAAGTAGCAAGGGTGCCAGCTATCTTGCTACAGATTTTACAGTTCCTTTTCGTGCATCTTTGCAGTCCTTCTACACCAAGGATTTGCTGGTTGAAACGATCATCCGTATTCTGAACCCGTAGACAAAAATGTTGAAATACAGAGAGGCGGTATTAAATGCAAACATCTACTATGGTGTAAGATTTTTTTTTTTTCTTAATGAGATGTTTCTAATTTAAAGACATACATAAAAGTATGCAAAAAGCAAGTGTGTTTGTTTAGGTTTACTTGATAGAAATTTCTGTAAATTGTATTTTATATGGCAAAATATACCACTGCACATTAAAATATGGGACTTCACAGGTTTTTGTTACTCTAAGTAGAATAAACATCTACAGAGAACCGTTTGTCCAGTTCTTAAATATGTATGTGGGTGTTATTTTGTAACTTTTCCTACTTCTCGGCAAACCCACAGAGCCTGGTGGCAGAAGGATTTCATTTCCCCCCTGTTTAACAGATGTTTTGCAGGAGGTCCCTGCCCACCCACGTTTAACTGCAGCCCTTCAAAGTGAGGGGGCGAAGGGCTGCGCTTCCCATTTTTCCCTGGGTTCTGAACCATCACCTGATTTATTCTGAACGGGTTTTTTTTTTCTTTTTTTCATTTGAATTGGGCTTTTTTTTTATTTGAATTAGGTAGTTCTGAAACATCACCTGATTTATTCTGAACGGGTTTTTGGTTTATTTTCATTTGATTTAGGTAGTTTGAAACGTGTAGGTAAAAAAATTAAAGTATTCATGGAATCACAGAA